GCCGTGTGCTTATGTGGATCTCTCTAGTCTTGTTCTGGTCCGTCATCACTACTGTTCTCCGATACAAAGAGCACGTTGCTGCTCCTGGGCTGCAGTGGAGCTGTTCTGGTTTGGCAGTCGCAATTAAAAAAAAATAAATTGGGAGAAGGAAAGAGATTCTATTCACATAGAAAAGAAACCGTGCACAGCGAGGAACTATGAACCCCGTGCTCTGAGGGTCTGACAGATTTGCACACAGCTTCCAGACACTGCAGTCTGACTTCTGCCCAAAATATAAAAGACAATATAATTCTGCGTTGTTTTTTTTTTTTTTTGAGAGGTCGGGGCTTCCTCCTTCCTTTCCCTCTGCGCTTCCCCTCTATTCAAAGGTTATATACGTGAATCCTGGAACTAAAGCACTTTGAGACAGAGATGGCAAGACACCAAGTAAAGGCCGGCAAACTGAGGCATGTATCCTGCGCTGGACAAAGATAAGGCAGTACCGGGGGGGAATAATGGAGAGTGGATCCGAACCCTCCACCTGTGAAGTTTTTGCAGGGGTTTTGAAGTTTTCCTGCCTGGAAAAGCAGGTCTATGGTGATCAGTGTAAGACTGGTTGGTCTCTACTTGCCCTCACCCCTTCACAAATTTTTAAGGACTCCAACAGTTTCAACAGGCGTACGCTAAGGTTTTCAGACTCTCAGATGTCAGGTGGAAGTTGTCGAGGATATTTAGATTTACCCATAGAGACTTCAGGGGCCAGTTGACTGAAATCCCCTATGCTACACTTAGCTTGAGGTTAAATTTGTAACTTCTTGCACGTAGTGAAACAAAGCCTTCTGATAAAGACAGCCTAGCTCTTGTGAGTGCTAAAGAGAATAATACAAGTTTCTGGTGATGAAACAGAATAATTCCCCAAACTAATGAGTAAGTGTAAAAAAAAAAAAAAAGTATGTATTGGTCTCAATTTCTTTTCAAAAGACGACTATGAGCTTGAAATGGAACGTCTTTTTTTTTTTTTAATGATGATAAACATAACTCTGAATTCAACTCCTCTCTTCCAACGTTTTTTGGTTTCACAGTCTGGCTCCCTTGTTTAAGAGAAATGTTTTCCTTGCCTTGTAGTCATGTGAAAATCTTTTTCAATCTGTAGTTGAAGCCCAGTTTTAATGATGATAAACATAACTCTGAATTCAACTCCTCTCTTCCAACGTTTTTGGTTTCACAGTCTGGCTCCCGTGTTTAAGAGAAATGTTTTCCTTGCCTTGCAGTCGTGTGAAAATCTTTTTCAATCTGTAGTGGAAGCCCAGCTGGTTAACTAGTAGAGGGAAAAGCAAAGCGATACAAAATACTTTAAACCAAGAAATTTAGATCAAAGTATTTTCTGCCAGAAGACTTGACCTTGAGTTTTCAACCTAGAAAGAATATCAAGATTAACTGGATAGATGTTATGTATAACAGTCAGTTCCGGAATCTGCTGGTAAAAATCCGCGGAGGCTGTGTGTTAAGCTGGATGCCTTTTCTAGAAGGAAGCTGCTTGAATTTCCAGGCTCTGAACTGATGGAGAAATTCTCGTGGTCCACAGTAATATGTTACAGTTGTTAATTACTCTAGCTACTAAACCATACAAGTTATTTCTAGTCTGAGCATTGATTTACAACAGCCAGTGAATGTCTCTGATGGATTTAGAAGCCTTAAGGAAGTAATTTTTCAGTTAGTCATCTTGTAACCACAATGGGTAAACATTATTCCACATAAAGCATGACTTAAATTAACTCTCTGACTTCTTAAGTTAGCTTAGTTAACTCCTAAGCTTTATTCAGCTCCATAGCTCATGTGGCTGGACCCAGTGGTAGAGAGGGATACAGAAGAGCGGGAAGAATCTTGTCCCGGAGAAATACCAAATTTCCACTCTTCCGAGGACCCACGTGGTAGCAAATGAATCACCGCAATGATGGTCTTACCGGCGGGAAGCAGCTGCCACCTATAACTCTCAAAATAAATCATGACGTGATGCTGTGTAACCAAAAGGCATCTTCTCTGCAACAACGAACAGCCCATACCTGCAGGACAAGGGTCCGGATGCAGCCCCTGAATGATGTCCTGGCAATGAGCTTCCATTTCTGAGGCAGGTAAAACTCCTCCTGTCTTCCAGGAAGATTTGCTTGAGTAACTTTTGGACAGGGTGTACTTCGGACATCTAAATCTGCCCGAAACAGCCAGTACCGGCTGTGTGTGCAGTAAGGTACAGCTGGAAGATGACAGCACGCAGTTATCGTGGAGCGATGCCTTCCACTAAAAATGCCATCTAAACGGCAAAGGGAGCTGAGGTATTGATTTAGAAAATAGCTGTGGTTGCTTAGAAAGATTTGGTGTCCCTCGTGCTGAGGTCCTTCACCAGAGGTTATGCCTCTCCCTGCACAGGATCGGCAAAACGGAACCACCCAAGTGCCGCAGGGCAAAATCTTCGGGTTTAGGTTAAGGTGGTGATGAAAATGGCTGGTGGCTTTTTTTTTTTGCCTTTTGGGTTTTTTGGAGTGATTTGGTGGAGGGTTGGGGGGGGGGAGTGTTTTGTTTCTTGGGTTTTTTTTTTGCTAGGCCACTGCAGAATGCTGTGGACAGAATCTGTTTACAGCGTAATCATGAGAACAGTTACGTCCAGCTTAACACTGGCGAGGGACCACCAAGAGCCACAACATCTTGAATCACTCGGACCGTTTGCTCAGGGGACGCCGGTCAGCGTTTGCAGATGGGCGTTCGTTTTGCACCGTCTATAGCATCAACAGCGATGGTGTGGGAACGGCCAAAGTGCCTCCCGCAGGGTCCCTTCCCAGCAGACAGCTCCTGAGCTTTGTTCCCTGGTTTGATTTATCTCCGTTTATTGCAACTAGGAGGAAGCTGAACGCTTTCAACGAAGTACGCTTCCGTTTCCTTTACAAATGAGATTTACTCGCAATCGCAGTGTTTGGTGGTTCTTCTTGACCAACTCTGAACACCCAGTCAACGTTTTGAAAATACCATTAACAGTTTTACATACATCGTTTACAGTCCTATACACACTATAAACAGAACGTTGATATTTATAAAAATGATAGTTTGATTTAAAAACTAGCTTTTTAAACAGCACTCATGTTTTTTCAAATTTTGACATGCAGCATTTCCCTTTGAACGGCAATTTTTCTATCCACGTTTACCACATATTGAACCTAAATTCAAAGGAAAATAACACTGATGTCAACTAAAACATCTGCCCGGTTATGCCCCGGGAGCTAGATCTCATAGGTGGTATCCATTATGCTGAGCACCTTCGGGGAAAAGTAATAGCCTAACTTGCGGCAACGGGGAAATTATTTTGCTACGAAGTTCTTTATGGCACCAAAAGCGGGCTTTCTGCTTGCAGGGGCTGCTGCCTCCCGCGTCGGCTCTGGAGAACCCGGGAGCAGCTCTGGGCGTTAAACCCGGCCGATTTTTCTGCAGAACGGGAATGACCGCGGCGGGGCCGCCGAGCCAAGGCCTCTGCAAGGGCCAGCTGGGGCACAGCCGGCCGGGCAGCAC